TCTATCTAAACGTTCTCGAGTCACTGTCCAGTTGAAAACTGTATGTTACCACCGATTATGAGTACTGAAGCAGTTTTTCTGAAACCACGTGCACCATTCAAACTGGCTGTCTTCAACTTTCGCACACTTATGCAGGTCAGACAACATATAGAGCTGGCTATGTCCTTGGAAAGCCTTAATATCGACGTCTGTTGTCCATCCGAGACCCGTATTCAAGACACTGGTGAGATACTACAAATTCGCTCTTCATCTGTCGCTTCAAAAAGCTTGTTTTCCGTGCGCTTATTCGGGACCCTGTGGCATTTTCGTCCGGTCTTGCTGGCGTTGATGTCGAACTAAGCGCTAGAGCTGAGGCAGCACTAATCGATTGGATCCATTAACACTCGGTTATGTGCTGTTAGATTAGAAAGTTCCATCAAAATGAGAAGAAATCGGCGTGAGAAACGATGTCTTTTCGTCATCTCCACCTATGCCCCGACAGATGACAGCCCGGATGCAATCAAGGATGAATTCTACCACCAGTTAACTGTTCTTCTCCAGAAAGTGTGTTCGACAGATATTGCAGTACTAGCCGGAGACTTGAATGCTCAGGTTGGGCGTCCAGGCACAGAAGAGAGTCGTTTAGGTGGCCGATGGGGACGTGTTGGTCACAGGACAAATAACGAGGACCGTCTACTGCAACTGTGCACAGACCACAAACTGTTTCTGGCTAGCATTAACTTTCGGCACAGCCATCGTCGATGTGCCACCTGGCGTCCTCCCTCTGCATCTCAAGCCTGGACTCAGATTGATCACATCGCGATCAGCTACCGCTGGCGTGGTTGTGTAAAAGACTGCCGCTCCTTCTGGAGTACCTATCTGGACTCTGACCTTGCTTTGGTCTGCACCAATCTTAACTTACTTTTCAGTGGACAACGAAGTGACTGCCACCAACGGAATGATGTTAGCAAGCTGGTTGCAACTTCTGTTGCAAGTAAGTATCGAACCGAGCTAGCTTCTAGACTAGCTACCATTCCACCGAAAAGTATGGATGAGCATTGGTTACGATTGCATGACGCCATGAAAATGGCGAGTAAAGTCACTTGCGGTTTCGCCAAACGTCCCGCTTATAAGCACTGGGTTTCTTCTGGTTCCTTACAGCTCATTGAAGCCCGTCGGTCTAGTCCGGGTAACCTTTAGTTTGACCACAAACGAAGGCTGTTACGTAATGAAATCGGGAAAAGCTTGTGTAAGGACCGAGAAACCTGGTGGTCGGAAAGTGCTAATGGGCTAGAAGCAGCAGCTGCATCTGGTAATTACCGGAATCTCTTCCAACTCACCCGAGCCACTGGCAGCAAGAAGTATGGTGTGAGCGAAACAATCTGCGAGGATGATAAGATGCCAATCACTAACATCCATCGACGTCTTGCACGATGGGCAGAATTCGTCTAAGGGAAGTTCAACTGGCCTGCTACTCCGGCAACATCGGTCAGGCTGTCCTGCCCTCCTTGGCTGGCGACGACTGATCCACTAAATGAGGCGGAAATCCCCACGGAACTCCAAGTCTTGAAGCGCTACAAATCACCTGGCCCAAATGACTTACCTCTGGCTCTTTTTAAAGATGGTGGTGACTTTCTGACTAAGGAATTGACGACGTTGTTTACAAAAGTCTGGTAACTAGAGAGTGTATCAACGTCATGGAATGAGTCGATATTTGTCCCTATCTTTAAAAAGGGTTCACATCGTTTCTGTAACAACTATCGGGGGATAAGTCTACTTCCGACTGAGTCCAAATTGTTGGCTTCCGTCATAATTCGTAGGTTGTTCAAAACCCGAGAGAGATTGACTCGCGAGAAGCAGGCTGGTTTTCGTTCTGGTCGAGGATGTATTGATCATATCTTCACCCTCTGCCAAATGTTAGAACACCGCCATACTTATCAAAGGCCAACTATCGTAGTGTTTCTTGACATCAGGGCTGCCTTCGATTCGTTGGATAGGACTGTTCTCTGCGATTGTCTATTGAAGAAGGGTGTGCGTGAGAAGTTTATAAACATCCTAAAGGCCCTACATAAAAACACCTCAGGTAGAGTGAAGGCATACAACCACCTTTCGCCATTGTTCCATTCGAGCAGTGGGGTTAAGCAGGGTTGCCCAATCTCACCATTCCTCTTCAACTTTGCCATCGATGACATTCTGGAAACAGCTCTGATGGATGTAAGTAATGGCAGTGTGGATCTGTTGCCTAGAGAAAGACTTCTCGACCTTGAGTATGCGGATGATATTGTCTTACTGTGTGATAATACCAAGCCATGAAATCCGCACTTAATCAATCGGCAATTAGTGTCCGTAGGTACGGTATGTGTTTTGCAACTTAAAAGTGCAAAGCACTTCTACAAGACTGGCAAGATTCTAATCCTGTACTCACTCTGGATGGTGAGCAAATAGAAGTAGTCGAGATGTTCATGCATCCGGGTAGCTGAGTAAGTGCTGGTGGTGGTGTGGGTGATGAGATCGATTCAAGTATAGTGAAAGCTAGAGCGGTTTATGCCAATCTGGGCCATATATTTAGTGCCTTCGTGATGCTAGTTTGGCTGTAAAAGGTCGGATCTACAACGCGTCGGTGAGTGCGGTTTTGCTCTATGCTTGTGAAACCTGGCCTCTCCGAGTTGAGGATGTTAGATGACTCTCTGCGTTCGATCATCGATGTCTCTGAAGGATTGCTGACATCCAATGGCAACACCATGTTAGAAATGCAGAGGTTCCGCATCGTGTGTTCGGGCACAGAGACGATAATGCAATTGGTGTCACCCTCTTGAAACATCGACTTCGGTGGCTTGGACATGTTCTACGAATGTCGTCCCAGAGAATTCTACGTCGTGCATTGTTTGCCGACGCTAGGACTGGTCGGAAAAAGCGGAGAGGTGGTCGGTGTATGACATGGTGTTCGTGGTATGAAAGAAAGCTGCAAAGGGCTGGGTTGTGTTGGTCCTTCACGACTCCCTGGCTGGGGTCTTAGAGATGGTGCAACACAGTGGCTAAAGACGTTATCAGATATGGCTCAGAATAGAAGCCATTGGCGATCCTGTTGTAATCTTTTATTTTTTATTCATAAAAAGTCGTTGTAACTTCCTTGACTGCAAGAATTTTTTCTGGTTGTACTTTTCCGTTTCCCCCATTATTAACATCATTCTTCTTCTTCTTGTAATTATTATTACACCACCTTACACCAATCTAATGGTTATTGTTTTTTTTCTTTTTCTTCGAGTTCTCATTGTTTTGCATGGCACATGTATATTTGGTGCCCTCTTGTACCAATATTTATGTGTTTAAATAAATAATTTAAAAAAGTGATGGAATCTTATCACTTTCGGTACGAGAAAATCTGTTAATAATGGTAAGAGATGATGCCAAAAATGCTGAAGCTTTATCGAAATATTTCAGTAGTGTTTTATATCGGCAATAAGGAACGACCAACGGTTTATTGCGATTGTTGCGGTTTATTGATGGACCATGTAATTATTAATAAAGGTGCTGTCTTAAGACTACTTCAGCATCTGAAACATGATAAGTCCAGCGGTTCTGACGATATTCATCCTAGGATTGTGAAAGCCGTGTTGGATGCAATTGCTGAAACTATAGCCATACTGTTTGATATGTCTCTGCGGCAGTTCAGACTGACAAGAGACTTAATTAGTCCGGTGTATAAGGCGGAGAGCAGAGACTTAGTTAGTAATTATCGACCGTCAGTCTAAAGAGTGCAGTTGTAAAATGTGGAAGGAAATAATCTTTCACCCAGGAAACAACAAAGTCTTCGGAAAGGTCTTTCATGCTTGTCAAACTTGTTCATTGCAAGAGACGATAGGGTCACAGCAAAAAACACCGAAATATTCCTGTAGACGTAATTTTCATAAATCTAAGTAAATTCTTTGATAAGGTCTCCCAATGGGGTTTTAAATTGAAACTGGGAAGCTTCGGAATCCATTATAAGATCATAGACTGGATAAGCTACTTTCTCCATGACAAGAGATAGAGAGTAAAAGTAAATTGAGCTCTCTCATCGTGGGAACCCGTAAAATGTGGAGTTTCCCACTGCACAATCCTCGGGCTTCTTCTCTTTTTACTTTATGTAGATGAATTGCCAACTTTAGCAAAGTCATCTGTTCTACTCTTCGCCGATGACATACAGATTTGGAGACTCATGCACAGTATGTCAGATAGAATAGTATTACAGGATGATCTCAAATCATTGGTGGCGTGAATGGACGGATGGTTACTAGAAGCGAATCCTAACAGAAGTGTGATGATGCAAGTAAATAACTGTGATATGTTGATATGTGGATTCGTATTACCTAAAGTAAGAAACCATAAAGATCTAAAACCCATAATAAGCAGAGATCTCAAAACTACTGGTAACTGTAAGGCTGCTGCTGCAAAAGACTGTAGGGTATTATGGTTCATTCAGAGGTCTTTTCAGTGTTTTGATGAAGAAGTGTTTGTATTATTATACCCGACTTTCGTGCGACCGCATTTGAAATATAGGATTCGAATAGCGAGTCCTTGTTTCAAGTATGAGGCGGACATGCTGAAATGAGTCCAATGACGAAGGACTAAAATGGTAAAAGTTTCTCTGGCCTATCTTATGAAGTCTGGAGTTTCATTTCTCGCACTGAGTAGTAAATTACTGGAATTCTCTACCGGAACATGTAATATCAGCACCTTCTGTTGATATATCGAAAACGAGATTAAACCTCCACAGTGTAACAAACTGCAAGGACTAATATATGGGTCGATAGACCCCCTACCCTTGTAAATGAAGACTGAAGACTTATTTACAGCCACAAACTAAAGTCTGTTACTCGGATCTTAGCACTAGAAATATTGTAAACTGAAGATTATCTCATGGTCAGAAATGAATTTTCGATGTTGGAAAAATGGTTAACTATGACTTAACACTAACATTAAAAAAATACAATCTTGGCTTCTTTCTATTGAATGTTTTGTTTATATTTCTTACCGGGTCTGGAGATTCGTAATTTCAGTCGTTGGGATGGCGGGTGATAATACTGAAATAGACTTGTATGACAATATTGATGAGGACTTCGTGCAGGTACTAGTTAGATTTTCCCTATATTGCTTCCTAGGAATGTACCGATCTTACAGAGTTATATGACGATGTTATCGCACCAATTAAGTCGGAGAATTCTGGCGTTCCATCAATGGTAATTTTTTGTTCTATTATGTATAATTGTCATGTTATAAAGGCTACTAAGCACTCATATAGCTCTTCAGCTCCTCCAGGGCGCCGTGTATCAGTCTATGTCGGTAATTTGACTTGGGTAGTTGTGAATTTTTCAAATAACGAATAAAAAAACATTTGTAGTGGACAACAGATTTAGATTTGCTAGAAGCAGCATCAGGTATCGGTATTAACGATGTTATTGAAATAAAATTTCACGAAAACCGACAAAACGGTCAATCCAAAGGGTAAGCTATGGGAATACACGTCAATTTACTTGCAGGTTTTGTGTAATGGTTTTCGGGTCAGAACAGTCCATGCGTTTGGCTATGGACAAATTTCCGAAGATAGATCTGCACGGCCAAAATCCTGTCGTCACAAGCTATACAAAGCACAATCTGAGCGTTTTTGAAAAAGCCGCTGGCAGCGACAATCAGGCTACTGCCCGACCTCGCGCGGAAGAAATGCAGACAATGAAGGTGTCTGGAGGTAACTGTCGATTCCTGTATGTATTGACGATTTTTAGCAGGCACTACTGGTGTTTTGGGGAACCGCTTACCGCCTCCATTAATGGCTACACCTACTATGCCTGCATCACTTGGATTCAGTGTACGCAATAACAGTCCTTTGATGGGACAAGTCGTTCCAAACGTTCGAAATGCAGCAAATCTGTCATCTAGTATCCAACAAGCTCTTGCTAATCACAATGCACACTCCGGCTTGGGTGGGAATTCAAACGTAAATCAGTTACCCTTAAACTTTCCGGGTTCTACCGGCGTTCTAATGCCTCCGAGTGGTCTATCAACAGCAACTTTAGCAGCAAATGCTACAGGACTATTACCCTCAAACTTCACTCTTCCTAGCACGATCGCAACATCCATCGCAACAAATGCTCATGTGAACCCAAATTTTTTGACACAACAAGTACCGGGAAATCCTCCGATGTTACCAAATTCTTTGCCACCTGGTGTAATGCAGTTGCCTACTCAGAACAATGATTCCAGTGTAAGGCCACAGTTTGATCATTACGGAAGACCGGTTATTCATACTTATACCCCTCGTAAGTCCTTATTAATAGTTTAGTTTTATGTACTGGGCAGCTTAAGTGTCCCATTATACTTAGTCTTCGGTTTCATTGGGTGCTCATAGAAACAGTCAATTGACAAAATTTGAGTTGCTACTTCATGAAGGCTCTTTTGTGATTTTTCATTTCACCTTGTTTTGCGCACTTACCAACAAGATACGTGTTTATACTTGATTTTTTGTTAGGTCTTTATAACACCTGGTAATATTGTTCACAGTTACATCGACATAGGCATTAAAGCTAAAATCTGCAAAGTAGTAGTTAATATTCATGTACTTTGATTATTATTGGACTCCTAAACAGATCCTTCATTCACTGTCAAACAGTTGGACATGTTCCATATAACTTCCCCCAGAAAACCTACGTACTGTTCATGTTAATTGTAATTGTAGATTACTCATTATGAGAAGCAGGGTGTAGTGGCCATCTGTTTCTAAGAAAGCCAGAATATGGGGTAATTAAGTGTAAAAACCGTGTTTCAGCAATACGTCAAATGTGTAATCGTTTCTAGAGCCGTCTTCCTTCGCCCCATAGATTTCGGCTTACACAAACTAGCAGTATCATTATATACCAGTGCTTTAGTTGAACATTAAACTCACTTTAGGTGTAACTGACCTAAGCCTGTTACCTTTCGGGATAGACGGCCTACCAATGAGATCCAACCAATTCTGTCCTGAGCTATCCTTTCTAATTTTTGCCTAGTAATATTTATGTCCGTGATAACTGCGTTCAATTTCCGGCATTATGTGTTCTGTGGTCTGTTTTTTCCTTTCACTTTGAGGATCTTGATGTACTGCTTGTTTTGTGATACAGTTTTATTGATTCTCGCAAACTATATCCTATCCACTTCTAGCTTCTTCCTAACTTCCTCCTCAGCTGTAAGCTATTCTGTTTCCTATCACAGTTGGTTAATGATGGTCTCTTGCCAAGGATCAGATCTTCCTTGTGTATTGGTAATGCTTCTCAGGTACATAAAAGTTACCACCTCTTTCAGAGCTTTGCTATCAAGAGTGATCTGGTTGGTACTCGCTGTATCGTACTCCTGTGTCTTGAATGTTGAGTCCTATCGCTGCAGAAGCTTCTGTGTGGTAAAGAAGGGTCCAAATTATCCAACTGCGTCCAAAGTGTATACTGTATTCTGTGCTTTTATCGGGACATAGACATCATCGCAAAAACAGCCAGAAGAAAAAGAAATTGTGAGAGCAGGCACCTTTGTTTGACACGCGTCTTTAGTTGGGATACATCTGTGAGCTACTCTCCATGTACAAGTTTTCAGTTCAGTCATTCGTAGGTGTTCTGTGAGGTGGTGACAATCTTAGGTACTCTACAGTGTCAGAAAATTTCAGTTTTTCTATTCACGCTGTTAAGTGCTTTCTCACAATGAGTTGATGTATAATAATAAGTTCTGTCCGATTGATTGTTCAAACAAAGATAAGTAGTGTCGGGGTTTAGCTATTAAATAATCGGTCTGCATAAAAACCAGTGTTTTGGTCTCAAAGTTGGGAGTCTCTTGGATTTTTCATTCGGCTCAGCAAGACGTTTGTAAACTTTCCCTGTCACTGATATTAGTGTGATGGCTCTGCAATTTAAACTACAGGGTTACGAAAAACCAGTGGATTTCTACTTAGTCTATTGTACTCATCCCTTCAGGCTTTGAACACGATGAAGGGCGAAAGCAAATCAGATCTAGGTTAACCAAAAGTCTAAAGAATAACCGTGAGCCGTGGTGGACAACGACAGCAAAAGAAATAAAAAAAGGTGGCGACTGTAGGTATCACAAGACAACTCTTCAGACTCATAAAAGAAACTGCAACTAAATAGTCAAGTGTAAGTGAGACTATCTTGGAAAAAGACGCTTTTATCTGCTTTCAGCCCAGACGTTCAGAACGATGGGCGGAACACTTTAAGGAGCAGTTCAACAGGCCTTCATCTACTCTATAACTACCCATCATTCCCAGGCAGTGTGAATGGAACATTGAAGTAGGTCCCCGGACTCTAGCTGAAGTTCATAAGGCCATAGCTAATCTGAAACTAGGTAGGGCAGCTGATCCAATTTTAGCGATTATGTTGACTAATATTTCAGATAAAATCTGGGAGTTGGACGTAATCCCATCTGACTGGTCGCAATCGCTTATTGTCCCAATATATAAGAAGGGATCAAGATCGTCCTGTGACAACCATAGAGGGATTAGTTTAACTAATATAGCATCTAAAAAGCTAGTCTCATTAATTATCGGACGCCTAACAAAGGCTCGTGAACTACAAACACGAGAAAATCAGGCTGGCTTCAGACCTGATCGTGGCTGTATCGACCACATATTCACCATTCGTCAGGTTCTAGAACACACATATCTATCGGCGTCCGACAATGGTGGTCTTTCTTGACTTGAATGCAGCATTTGACTCGGTAGACCGCGAGATTCTGTGGCAGTGTCTGTCATTGAAAGGCGTACCTCAGAAGTACATAAACCTTGTGAAGGCCCTTTACTCGAACACTACCAGTCGAGTGAGAGCTTATGGCGAACTGTCATCTGTTTTCGCAACCTCAAGTGGTGTCCGTCAAGGCTGCCCACTTTCTCCATTTTTGTTTAACTTCATCATAGACTTATTGATGGAAATAACATCCTAATCGACTGAATTCTCGGGTATTGATCTCCTTCTAGGAGGTTCACTTATCGACTTAGAATACGCAGATGATATAATCCTGTTTGGTGAAGACTCTGATAAAATGCAGTCTTCTGGTAGCACTGAGCAACAATGCCAGGATGTTTGGGATGCGCTTCTCTCCCTCTAAATGCAAGTTGTTGCTTCAGGAATGGCCTGCATTAACATCTGAACTATGGATAGGGAGTGTAGTAGTCGAACACGTTGACAACTTCACTTATCCTGAAAGTCTGATCAGCTCTAATGCGTTGGTGTCTGACGAAATCTCAGCACAGATTCGATAAGCTCGTTTGGCTTTTGCCAACTTACGTCACCTATGGCGAAGGCGAGGTATCCGTCTATCAATAAAAGAACGAGTATACTGCGCGACAGTCCGTTCTGTTTTAATTTACGGCAGCGAAACATGGCCATTAAGAGTAGAAGACACTCGTAAGCTATTAGTATTTGACCACAGATGCCTTACAAATATTGCTGGCGTCTGCTGGGATCACCAGGTAAGCAATAGTGAGGTTAGACACAAGGTATTAGAGAACGATAGTAATTCATTTGATGAGGTTGTGAATCTTCATCGACTGAGATGATTGGGCCACGTGTTGCGTATGCCTGAACACCGATTACCACGACGTGCAATGCTAACTGGTGTTGGAGATGGTTGGAAGAAAGTTAGGGGCAGCCAAACCAAAACGTGACGTCAGTTCTTGAAATCACTAACTTCTAGTCTGAGCCATGTTGGTAGATGCAGACTACTTGGTTGGGGTCCGCGTGACTATCGTAACCAATGGTTGGAGACTCTTGGTGACATGGCACAGAATCGATCACAATGGCGTCGGTGTATATACTCTCTGTCTTAAAATCGCTTCATATATTTTTTCCTACGAACTAATTTTTTCTTCCTGTACTATATCCTTATACACAATCTTTTGAACATTACTATAATTGAAGTGACTACTTCTATGAATTCGGTGCTCATCTTGTTGTGCTAATGTTTGGCATCTTGGACCGATGCACATATGTGCCTGGTCGTACGTTGTAGCTGGCTGACTGACTGTGATGTCTCTGTAACTCTCACTTTGTAAGGTCTACTTCCTTATCTTGGTGGGATGTGTTTTTCGTGCCAGTGTGTTGGTATTTATTCCTCCTCGTAAATCTTTCTGAAGAGAACGTGAAACATCTGGGTGCATCCGTGGCAGTTCTGTGTGATGGACTGCAGCCTCACAAAGGTGATGTTTATCATCTTACTGCTATCATTGGTGGGTGCACAACACTGGTCACCATTGTAACCCTTTTTTTGTTTCAAAACGTCTCTTCGAAGAGCTTAAGTGCAACCTTCCTGTATGCGGGTCTTGTTTTTCCTGATAATCAGAATACAAAAGTAGCTCTCAAAGTTAGTTTTTTTTATCCAGCGTGTGTCTAATGAGTTCCACTTATTCTAAACAGAACCGGGAATTGGAACGGAAGGGTCATACAGTTCACAAATACTTGAACAAAGGTTCTGTTTGAATATAACCAAAAGGATTATGTTAGTGGAGCTGATCTCACTTTTATGTATTAAGAAATTGCAAAAATCCCAACTGGTTAATCTGAGTTATATCTGATGACATCTGAAGTCACCGAGTCTTATTATCTCTAGAACTCGGACCATGGAGCCTTGTTTGTTCAGAGAATACCAGTCCTATACAACTCGCCCACATCAAGGCGCTGTGCCATAAACTGACCACCTGTACTTTCTCCGTCCAGTCCCAGCGTCGGCAAATAATGGGTAATATAAAAGTCACTGTGGTGATATTAGTAAAATTATATCTAAGGCACTGAAGCTGGTTTTTAAGTTAGTGATACTAACTGGTTTGTTACTGCCAGAACACATGTTAGCGAACTTCAGTATTACTAACATAGTATTACGACTGGGGGTCACAAACCCTTCGAAGGTATTAATCGCACATAGTTGCTAAACCTCAACTCAGAGTCCAGTTTTCATAACCACAGGACGAAACTGCTCTCGTCGACTCATCGTAAACATAACAGCCAGACTAAGTCACGACAGTGTCAAAGAAGGCCTGGATTAACACAGTGTCACTCTGGCTTCCACTATTTGTAAAGTTATTTCATCTTTCATGTCACTACCAGCACGCATTCGTACTCACATACACAAAGTTTTTGACTACCAACATGTGACCACAAAGAGTGAATACAGACGGGCTTCTGTCAGTTTTGCAGAAGTACTTTGCACTTAGAAGTGTTAAGCAAGTGATCTCACGGATACTGATTAAGTCTGCTTTGGGATAGTTTTTTTTTTTCGTACACCAAAGTAATTTCAACCTTATACATTAGTAAATGAAGTCTTATGGTCCAATGAATAAATAGTCCACTAAGTTGATCTGGTGTTGAAACGTAAAGGACAGTCAGTCAAACAGAAAAGTAGTCACCAATAATTTTAAGGTTATTTAATTGTCACAACATGCTCTAGTATAAACGGCGTTGGCATCTACTTTGAGTAATAGCATGTGTTCAAAATTCCATCTTCAGCAACTTGCAGTTTCTTACACTGTAGGCATAAACATTAGTACAAGGAGGCACCAAATACATATGCGCCACATAAATCATTCGATTAGTGCGAAGGCTAGGATACTGCTCGGGTGCCCAGACCGAAGCAGGCGGTTTTCTTAGGGGGCCCTACCCCGAGCCTTGGACCTTAAGGTCTGATCCACAAGGCAATGGAGCATCGTGAGATGCAGTCCCTTGGTAGCCGGTGACCAACAATTGGTTCATACGCCATTTGTTCCCGCAGGATACTGGAGCCCATGTGCACCGTTGGTTTGGGATCCGGTTAAAGCGCCGGACGTTCGCTTTTCGTCCTCTCACTTTCGTAAACAACACCTCCGCCACGAGAAGGCATTGAGTAGGACTTCTCTGGCAGAGGCTGTATACGCCTGGCCGTGTGAGAGTATTTTGAGAGGGAGGGCGGGCCCATCCCACTCTCGGCCATACCAGGGCATTTGGGGGGTTTGATGACTTCCCGTCACATGGTTTCCTTAGTCTACTTGTTTTAAATAATACATCACTGTAGTTGACGAACATGTAGTGGCATTATGCGGAATTTTGTGAAGCAGATTTTACTGGACAGACTTTCACAAGGTTAGGGCGCATTAATAGGAAAATATCAAGGATAAAAAATGAGTAGACAGTGACAGTTATATTAATCTGTTCACAGTATCGCCCTAATGCTTAACTTTACTAACATTTACGTATACGGACCTTAATGTTAAGTATTCGTTTAACGACCACTAGCTGATGTAACTCATTTACTAAGTAAATCTTATTTTTCGGCTTTAAAGTAGCATCTGTATCTGTTAGCTGTCAAAATCTGTTCTAATTCATCTGAGTTACAAACAGGTTACTTTCAGCATTACTCAAAGGCGTCCAACTTCTGGTCAAAGGACTGACCAGGCTGTTTAGAGAAAATTAAAGAGTAGTGTGGTCCATCTTTCTGAAATGAAATGACCGTTATTCCTATTATTAAAAAACTATCAATTATCGGGATATAAGTTCACTTTTTATCGCTTCCGAACTATTGGCACCCGTTACCCACTGCAAATTGTGAGAGATTAACTCATGAATAACAATCCAGCTTTCGTTCAGTTTTATTAGTATCCAAAAGACTGAAAACACCTCGGTGACAGTAATAGCATACAACTTCCTCTCCAATAAATCCACTTCAAAGGTGAAAATGTAAAAGCGTGCTTAGGGCAAAACAAGCTAAGCACTCAATCGACCATCAAGGAGTTGAGTTTAATCATGGAATTTTGGAAACGGTCCTATTAACCTCCAGCCACCGGTCCAGGATTATTACTAAAATTGATAGATATGAAGTAGAGCACTTGAGCTTCACTCAGTCCCACCTGATTATTCTTGGTCGCCTGTTATTTCAATTTGCATGAAAGGAGAGAAATCCTCTTAATAAACAGTCAGACTGAAGTGTTAACTTACATAATCGTCCGTTGCCCAAATGAAGTTTAGGGACTGCGAGCCCAAAGAAACTAGATTAGTTTTAGGACTTAGTGTGAATACTAGCTCTTATTTTATGTAACGTCTTTAAGGTATGTAACACTGCTATGGTGTTTTAATTTGTACTTAACGGTTACTGTTTATTGTAAAATGTATGCTATCTTTTAGCTTATTCGAGGCCCTAATTCTCTTTTGGACTAGGGGCACTTCATTTCCTGCTCTTGTCTTTAGTATTGATGTATCACTTAAATTCTTGCTACCCAACTGATCATTCTGTTTCGGATCTCATTGGTATCCTTCCCAAGTGTTATAACAATCTGCACTGAGTTATAAGAGTGATTATCTGTTTTACTGTTTACCGTTAAATATATGGTAACTTGATGTTATTTCCTTGCAGCTGTTCCAGGAAAGCTCTCTGAATCAGAGTTCGAAGATATTTTGCAGAGAAACAAGACAGTCTCTTCAAGTGCTATTAACAGAGCCGTACAGGATGCTGCTGGTGGTGATTATGCAAGTGCTATTGAAACATTAGTAACTGCAATATCTCTTATCAAACAGTCAAAAATAGCTAATGATGACCGATGCCGGATTCTGATCAACTCTCTTCAAGACACTTTACATGGCATTGAGTCGAAGTCTTATGGTGCTAAGTAAGATGGGTTTACTTTTTGTTGATTCACTGATTTTTAACATCTTAACTAAGATCTATTGAAAGAGCAACTTTTTTGTAAGAATTTGCTTCAGAACTCAAATGGATTTCCATGGTCTGATGAAAAATGTACAAAATATGTTCCATTTGTCTTATACGTGTACTATTACAAAATCAGTTTCTTAAATTGCAAGCTTCAGTGAGAATTTACTGAATGTAACTTATTGAAATAAGTGTATTACATATATGTGTGGAGATTTGCGGTCTTCCAGTCAGTCAGTCAGTAACAACGTAGAACTTAGTACGTACGTACATCAGTTCGAGTTGCCATACCACATTAGCACAGAGATGCAGTGGTCGATTCAAATCCCGTAGTGGTAGAGGTAGCAAGAGTATAAGCAGTAATCGGGAAGATTAGGGTTTGGAGATGTTATTTAACGAGTATAATCCAGTGAAATAAATTTGGAAAGAGGAGAAAAAGGGGCATGAAGAATTCAGAAGATTAGAATTTGGGAGAACACAAAGAGTGGATGCACCTGCGCCATTGCAAACGATTTTGAGCCGTCATTCAGGGTCTCTAACCATCGGTTGCTATCATCTCGCGGTCCCCAACCAGGTCTTCCAAAGTTTACATTTAATGGATTTAATAGCTTCTGTCCCGATGGCCGTCAAGTTATTTCTGTTGCTAACCAGTGTGTTGTGAGTATTAATAATAAAGTGAAGCTTTTAGCATTTTGACTTCCAAGTCACAGACATGCTTAGTAAAAATGTGTCCATTGCAACGTTGCTTGAGAGTGCACTCACGAGCTACCAAACGTTTGTCTCCATTTTCGCAGTTGTAAAAATTTAAATCGATTGTTACTTACTAAGTTCATTGTGTTTCTGACTCAATCTTCAAATCGATTTGTTGTTGTGGTAGATTGATAGAGCAAACAGTACTTCTGATGCGTCATATATCTCAACCACTTTAGCTTATGAAATTTCATAACCTTGCTAACTGATTTACAATAACTTTAATGGCGTATGGCAAATTTTAGAATTATTTACTCAAGTGTTCTGTAATTGCTGTGAAATGTTTTGAGGATATGTCGTCAGATTTCAGCAACTTAAGCATACCTTAGACCTTCAAAAGCCATTATAACTATAAGTCAGTGATATGGGACCTGGTACACCACAACACAATTGCGATAAAGTTACGAGCATGGGAATTGTTAGAGGTATTATTATTATTATAGGTAGTAAAAATATTAGGCATAACGAATAGAAATCATGCGGAAAGAATGGATTTTCAGAATTAAATGCTTGAAATTATTATGAAACTTAGTCATAAGGAAGTCAGACAGTGAATGCGTCTACATCATTGGGATAGGTTCTCAATCATGCCATCGGACTTTTCCAACCATTGGTCATGAGAATCACACAGACCCTAACCGTGTAATCTGAATTTAATAACATACTAATCCACAGTCAATTATTTTAAAGTCTAATACCACTTTTTAGTTCGGCCGCTCCTAGCTTTCTTTTAACCTACACCTCCGTTTCGTAATTACAAATTTATATAGAGCCACATGTCGCATTGTGCGCTGTCTTTTTGATAATTACTCAAATATCTCATATGCACCACATTCGGGCTTTCATATCAAATGATTCTATTCCTCGTGCTTAAAATGGTTCCTTAGCAATAACCGTTTGTCGGAATTTCGTTACTGCAGATAACTGTTCACCAGATGAAAGTGCCAAAACTGAATAAAGTGGCTTTGAAAACTTATTATTTATTTATTTATTTCAACACATAGATAATGGTACAAAGAGGCACCAAATACATATGCGCCACACAAATCTCATCCGATATGTGTGAGGGCTGTGATACTGCCCGGGTGCCCAAACCGAAGCAGGTGGTTTTCTTAGGGGGCCACACCCCGAGCCTTCGACCCAAAGGTCTGATCCACAAGGCAGTGGAGCATCGTAAGGAGATGCAGTCCCATGGAAGCCGGTGACCAATAATTGGTTCATACGCCATTTGTTCCCGCAGGATACTGGAGCCCATGTGCACCATTGATTTGGAATCCGGTTAAAGCGCCGGACATTCGCTTTTCGTCCTCTCATTTTCGTAAACAACACCCCCGCCACGAGAAGGCAGTGAGTAGGACTTCCCTGGCAGAGGCTATATACGCGTGGCCGTGTGAGAGTATTTCGAGAGGGAGAGCGGACTCTCCCCACTCTCGGCCGTACCAGGGCATTTGGGGGCCCGTACCAGGGCATTTGGGAAACTTAAGAAACTACGGAATAAAGGCACTATTTCTAATTTTAAGCCATGCCATTTGATATCTACAATCATTGATCGAGGCCATATTGCCAACTTTTAATCAATGTCCTAATCTAATAGCGTTTACATGTAGAACTTGGGTTCTGCATGTTCATGTATCCCCTTTCATCCTAAGGTTTAGTTCATTTTCGTCTCGCTAGATAACTAATCCAACAAATACTATGTAAACACCTGCGTGCCTTTTTACCTGTTGTATCGATTCAGTCAGTATCGATGGGATAAAAGTCAAGCCTTTAATTATGTAAAGTCACCATGATTTATTATGAGATCTCATGAGTCATGTTCTTTTTTTAACCGTTATATAATTATAGAGTTTCTGTATGGGGTGACTCAGATCGAACCACGTCGTTGACATTAGGCTTGTCGTGTATTTTCTGACCTATTCTCCACTTTTCTCTCAATTCGGATCTTCGATTATTCTTACATTTTTCCATGGTTGTTAGATTAATTACTAGATGTACTCTACCCCGCTGTATTGGCTCTTCATTCGATGAAGCCTGGATTCATCAAGGGAATAATTTCACTCAACATTTTTGTCTCTTCCAGTGTTTTCAATTTGTGAATATTAACAGATAATGCCACGGTTTTCTTTGTCCATTTTAATACATTGAGATGTTTGATCATTCAAGCAGGTTAAAGTAACTAGATTTTCATTCTGAAATGATTATGCTGTATTCCCTCGATTTTTTTCTTGACAGGAGCAGTAGTCGAAGACGTCGTCGTTCGTATAGCGACAGTGGCAGTGATGGTGGGGAAGGGAATTACAATAGTTCCATCAGTGGTAGTGGCAACAACAATTCTCGTCGTCACAGAGACAGAAATCATAGGTCTCGATCTCGTGACCGACACGATCGGCATGAGCGTCACGATCGCCGCAGACATTCTCGTGAAAGAGGATCTGGAAGTGGCAACACTTACTATGGCATTGGATCCGGTCTTCCTCTTCCTAGTGGATCTGGTTTGTCTGGAATCCAATCGGTAGATGGTTCCGGTCAGACTTGTGCTGGAAGTCTTGGGAGCAGTGCAGATCGGTATCGAGACAGTCGATACAGACATTAATCCTAGTTACGTACTCCTCTCAATTGCCAACCTGGTGACCAGTGTAGCAGTACTTTTGTTTTCTAATTAATTTTTCAATTCGTTTGTTCTCCCAAATCATCTGGTTGTACAGTTTGGTCATATTTCAATAACCATTGACTCACTTCATTGCTGCTAACTTTTATGTTCACTATTTTCGTTGTATTGGTAGAATTGGAGCTCAGGAGTGTAACAGGCAAGTGAAATCCTATAATATATGTTTATTCAATCTTTTTAGCTTGTCCACTTACTCAGTGATCCGGTTACCATTGGTGCTTAGTTTTGGGTGTATTTGTAATTATCATTTTGTACATTGTAATCTTGTTATTCCTTTTCGCTGTACTGTTTTGTATACATCACTTGTTATTGATTATGTTTTCGTTGCATGTACTGACAGCTCTTTGATATAGAATGACCATCAGCTAACTGTTGGATGAGTGTATATCCGATTTGATTAATGTTGCTAACTTCTCCCTTGATAATTATGTAGATATTTTCCTAGCCAACTTCATTCACTGTACATTTTCAATCCCTCCTGTTCCTGTAAAGTGTGTATAGTTTCTGTATATTATTAAGACAAATAAAAATTTGTTTAATGTGGCATTGTAAAGCTGAAGTGTTCATATTTCTGTATATATTAGCTGTTTCATATGTTGTAAACAGATACTGAGAACGGACGTGGAAAGTCTTGAATGTACTTGTTTGATTTCACTGTAAATAGTTTTTATCTAAAACGTTTCTGGTTCCTCATCATACCACTTGTATATAATAGACTGATTGATGCCCCCATAACTTTGTATACATAAATATCAATATCTTAACTGTTACATTCCATGTAAATAATTTTTTTTTAAAAAATAAAATATATTACTAGTCTTCTTAATGAATATGCACAACCTAAATGCGTCAAAATATGTCTTTTGTCATTTCGACCGTCTAACTTTATTTTTTTCTTCCTTTTCAGGTGTACAGTGGTCGTTTCAAATCGGATCTAAATTATTGTTTTAATTTTAAAAAATATACTTACTTGTGTCACTTCGTTTTTTCTTATTTTCTCAACCATAACTACATTCACAGGTGTAGTGTTAGCTATAAGGGTTGTACATCTAGGTTAATAAGTTACATCTATTTAAGCAATCCATTTGTTAATCATGCAAATTTCAATAAAGACTTAAAACAATGTATATAGTATAACAGGCATAGTTTCTGATATATTCAATGCGGTTATGATACGTATTTTCTTGATGTGTTCTGACCGCTTGTAAGCAAGTATTTTACTTAAGCGGTTCACACTACTGACTTATTTTAAGTAGCGTGAATTACTGAGTGGAATGTTTGGCTTTGAGTCAAACACATTTATGAGGGTTAGTGGTATCACTCATTCGAAGTGTAAAGGACAGTGTGGCTCTCAAACTCTTTGTTCTGTGACTATAATCTGGTTGCATCAGTTCATTAAATTAATAATCATAAGACTTGTTCACAAGCATGATTCTTCACCAAGTGATGTGAGGTTACTTCAAGGTCCTATACTTTTGAACTTGTTGATTGCAGATCTGTAAATTTAATCTCTACAACAGTTTGTCTTCCACTAATCAGCGGTTTTTCCTCGGTAGATTGGTTTGTTCGTAGATTTCAGCAACTCAGAAGGATACAGAAGTCTGAACTTAAATCTACTGAACATTACTATCGATAAAATTCCTTATGATGTTTAGAATTGTCCAGAGTAGTAGAAAATCGTAATAGGATACTTGCAAATGGTGACTGTCAACCCGACTCAGCATTTATCGCAGTAGCTCAGGTAGTTATACTGTCATTTCCCCAACAACTGGACAGATCATTACACTTGAGGGTACTTAGACTCGTTAGTTACTTCTTGATCTGGTGTGTCTATATCAGTTGAAGTTGTCATATCCAGTTAGCACAGAAAATGAGACTCAACCCAAACCCAGAGGGAAAGATAGAGTGGATGCACCTGCGCTATTGTGAACGAAATGTCACTCAGAATTTTTAACCACGGTTCACGATTATTACTCAAACCCTTAGTCGGTAGTCTGCACCGCCTAACATGGTTCATTTCAATTCCCTCCATTAGCTTTCAATGTACTCAAACCAAGTCTTGTGAGTGAATCAAATCAATTGGGCCATCATAATCTTCCTGCCAATTATTTTCATTCCCTTTGCTTTTTTCATGTCTAATTTACCATTATCGACGAGAGCCAACAAGTGGATATTTTTCGAATTTAAATTTTCCCTCTCAATGTCTAGTTATTCTTTAAATATACACAGTAATTCTTTCGATTCTAATTTGCACTTAATAACCCCATGTTTTCGTGAACCAGATATTTCTATTTTATCATACTATTTCTTACACTATGCATCTATACCTGCATACAATTTCAACGGCTATTTGATTGGTAGTAACGGTGGTTTACTAACATATAGATAATCCGAGCAAGCAAAAAGTTAGTCACTCGTTTTAAGGAGTTTCAATTCTTTTTCGTGTTCATTTTTTCATACATCCTTTCATTATACCTAATGATTAATTTAAAGGGAAGGATAAGTCAAATTCTGACAGGTTTATTCCGCTTTATCTATTACCCCTTAATTTCATTTTTGTGAGTCATTTTATTTTTCAGATCGGTTGTACATTTATTAAATTAATTACCAACATCATTTCTTAGTTCTGATATAAGTATTTTTAATAAATTTTCTTCGCGAAATTCGCTTGAGTCTCTTTACGAGTTAGTATGATTGTACCTTTAAAATATTCAGATAATTTTGTATAATTCCATACAAATTTGGAGTAAAATGATTTATTGACCATGGTTGTGAAATAAGCATCTATATCTACTTTTTCCACCACGACATACTGTCAATTAAGATATTGGAAATGTGAGAATTTATTAATTAAGAAGAAACAAGGAGTTAATAATGGTTTTCACTGTACCATAATATACCATTAAATCCTAATTTATTATTCTCTTCTTTCTTATAGTTGGTCGAATACACATTCATGAATTCTGATGTATATTTTTCTTAGTAACTTGATCGTATCATAAATCTCTATTCATGATCCTTAGATTTTTCGTAGTTTCACTCAACCAGTGTATTAATTCATGTAAACATTGTCCCAAATGTGTCTGAACTATTCGCTAATAATAAAAGTATTAGTCAGGTGTCAAGATACCGTATGATATGACACACATCTTCCTTATTACTTAGCCATGGAAATCCATAGCTTCTAGATAACTGGAAGTGTAGATGCATGTATTACGTGAGGTATTCATATACTACGGAAGGCGAATATTGAGTTAAAATATTACTCCGACAAGTGGTATTGGTTCGTCAGTAGGAATACAAAAACTACCATCCAAAAATCGTGAAAGAAGGCAAATGAACATTAATTACCAGTGGCAAACATTAGAATGCCTGTCAGGCTCATTAAGATCACCAAAAGTCTGATGCTAGACCAAGAATATATATATTAATACCTGGGATTAGGGTATCTTTGAGGAAATGTGTTGTAGTTTCTAGTTGATCAAGTTAGCCTTATTGTGAAATACTTAAGTCATGTGTGCCTATCATTTGGTTATCAATACGGTGTTGTTTTACTTGATACAATCTCTCAACTGTGTAATGTATCATCACTTTTGATGTTAGTTATAATGTCAAAAAGGACTTGATCAACTTATTTTCGGGCGGGATGTTGTCATTTAACCGAACACTTTTAATCGGTTCACAGCCATGTATAAAAGGTTCGGAAACAGTTTAATCGTTTTAAAAAAACCCAATTGTGTATGTTATTTGTTCACTACATAATTATCATGGAGTAACTTATACACGTGTTCATCAAATGAATCATGAAAGAAATGAAATAACACTAGGTTTAATCCCGAGTATGCTCTGTATCTTAAGTTCTTTTTTAAACAGGAAAACTGTTAGTGAACTAGCCAGTACGGTACAGTGCTGAATAATTAAAAACAAGATTGTGGTTCATTTAAAATTTCAATAAAGCTTAGTAATATCAGACATAAACATGGAAGTGGGAATTCAAAAAATAGGCGATACCAATAGTATATATGTGATGTGATGGTTATTTCCCAAAGTACTCATTGTACGTATATCAATCGAAAACACAAATGGGACATTAGGAACATTAATGAAATTTAGTCACGTATACAGTTCTACTTGTCTTCATAAATTCAACATGGATCAATTGGGTAGAATTTAGTCAACTTTAAAAGGGACAAGAGAAACATGATTTTTATTTGCAAATATCTCAGTCATAAAGATCAGTAGTTGCTGAATAACCCGAAATCGACTTCTCAGACTATAAAGATAAGTGACACATGATAGAGTCCAGCAGGAAACAGGGATATTTACAGATTACAGATACACTTTTCTGAAGAGTATAATGCAAAATTTTGATTGAAGGTATCTTGTTTACTGTCTTCAATCACCTAAAGAAGTAATTTCGTATTTTGAATACTTGTAATAGTTGTTCTGTGGAGATCCATTATTTATACTGGTGCTTCTTAGAAATCAATCCGTCCTTGCATATTGAAGTTATTTCCCCTTAAATACCTTTCTCGCTTCTCTTCATATCAGTTTCTTCTTTTTTTCAGTGGATCTAAAATTAAGAACTTGTTCCTGGGAGCTATCTTAAATTCTCATAACCCGATGGCATCTCGAACGAGGTCTGTATCAAACTTTAGTTTTGTTGCCTGTCTTACTATCCAATGCCTCATTAATTTTAGTTTTAGCTTAACCACCACCAGTTGATGATAATCTGAAGATGAATCATTTCCATTCTTTGTTATTACGTTTCCAATGAGCCTTATAAAATTTTCACTTATGCGGATGTGATTAATCTGCTTTTCTACGATGTGGTTCAGTGAAACATATGCAGCATTGTGTATACGTTTGTTTGTGAAAATCCTCCTACCTACGACCATGTTCAAATCATATAGATTTGCAAGTTACTCAACGTTATCGTTCCTTTGTCCAAGTCCATGAATTTGTACTCAGTGTTGTCCATCTCAATCTCAGCATTCAAGTCACTCATCAAGATGATCAGGTCTTTTTATGGGATTTTCTCTAGGATTCACTTCTGTATCTTACAACTGTGGCCTTCATTATCTTAATGGCTATCAATAATAAGTGCGTAGGACTGGATGACATTCACTGTTATCCTTTCATTCTACTGTTATGAGGGATGCTTGGCGAAATCACCTTGTATGGACATTCATTTGCTGGGAGATCAGCCTTGTGGTTTCAGATGATTCTCGGCTTTCACTAAGATGGGGTAATAACTCGTCTATATAGAGACCCTTCAACTGGAAAAAATCAAAATACTGGATCGAGAGATCTGTAAGTATTTCACAGAATTCCAAGAAACAGGACGTTTAGATCAATTAGCAATCAACAGGCCTATTGACAGTCAGTCAGAAGGTTAAAATTAGCCGAAAAAGACAACCAACATGAATCTAATGAAAAAACGGTAAGTATATAGTAACAAAATCTCAACTAAGGACTTCAGAACGATGTGATATAACTTTTTTTGCATTAACTGAAGTGCTTACTTTTACCTAAAGAAGATACTGAGAATATTGTTAAAAAAAATAATGAAAATTCTACTATTGAACCATCTAGAACAGTGGACACAACACCACTATAAAACTGACTAATATTAGCTTAAAGATTAGTAGAAATCAAGGCTTACTGTTTGAGATTATTGAGTAATTGGAATGTATATGATATATGAGATAAAAACTCTTACTTAACCTGTCAGTTTTATAGCTATCCTGTATCCTATTGTTCAATAATTACAAATAGTTCGTCCAAACAATGACTATCTCCAATAAACACTATCGGTATATATCAAAACTGATAAACATTATGGGCAGTGTTATCTTTTTAAAATGTTTGGTTGACACTAATAATACATTCATAATCGTAATAAATTTGATATGGACTTGAAGAAAGATGGATGTTTGTTTTGTTTATTAAGAAAACTATGTTCTTTAATTTAGACATTAAAAAAAAAGAAGAAGAAAACTCAAACAAAATGAACAGACTCACGCAATCAGTGTGATAAAAAAGAATTTACTAGAGAAATAAATTGAATTTCGTGTTTAATAAGAAGAGGACGGAAGAAAATTAACCAGATCATATCAACAAGTGCAATTACAAACAAGCTTCTGATCATATTATCAATATATCAAAATAAATTGTTAAAAAAGACAGTTAGTATTGGCCATAAAGAAATCTATTACTAGATTAGGATTTTTGTAG